AAAGTGTGGAAAACATCAAGTCCACTCAAGTTGACCCAGGAGCCATGAAGAACAGAAAGAAACAGTTTATCCAAATAGTGTTTTCCCGATGGACACGGGCCTGATGGCTTTCTCCCCGCGCTTATTATCTCATATCAAAGAAATGAAGGGAGTCAACCATTCGGCCTGTTTTCCCCGTCTCTGTCGACGTGGAGGCCGAAGAAGTGGCTATTTTAGCCTCTTTCATCAAGTGCTGCAGGACGTTCTGCGAGTTCAAAGTTTGGCTGTTTCCTGTGGAAGACGGGGAGGAAGAAGGCAAAGGAATACAGTAACTGTCCAGCGGCAAATGTCGATTAAACAATAAACGTCTGTCAGCCAAGGCCGTGTCCTGCACAGCACGTCCTCTCATCTGTCACACGCACACAGGTGCAGGCCAGTGCATCGGAGTGCCATGGCTAATGGCGCTAATGTCTGTTAATGGCATAATAATATGAGACTGTGTTAATGACAGTAATGGTGCACCAGGAATAGTCACCTCCCAAAATAGAGCAGGAGATGGGTGTCGTTAAAGAGACTCCACAGAAAGCTCCTTTGTTTGGTGTGTGCATGCCTGTGTGTGTGTGTCTGTGTGCGTTTCTTCTCGCAACACTGGTTTATAGTGGAATTAGGGATGAGATATTCCCATTTTTTTGCCCCCACGGTGTGTCTTGTTCAAGTACATTTGTGCACACACAGAGGTGGAAAATCGATTGTGCCATGATCATGTTTTCAAGATCCGATCATTTAGGGATTTCTGACATCTGTTACCTGTGATGTAAACGCACATGAGGTCGGACACGTGGAGATAATGAGCAGGCCGGAGCTTTTGCACGCTCTTAGCGAAGAGAAAGATAGATTTGTGTGGGATATACCACGCATCGTGCGTGTTTCAGTGATTGTAATGTGTGGGTTTTGTTTAATACAGAAGAAAAAGTTGGTTTATTGTGGATGTTCGCCAGTTTTCATTCTGCTGAAAACAAAACGTTATAGATTTCTTTTTTAATGTTGAAGAATAAGCGTAAAGTATGTAAATGTGATATTCAGATGTGAAGCCTATTATGTATGGACATATTGTTGCATCAGTGTCACGTGTTCTGCAAAATAACTCCACTTATACCTCAGTACTGGAAGGTCTTTATTGCACTCCTGTTTTCCGTGGCTGCTTTAGAAAGGAAAGCACTTAGCTCCCTCTGCTTGGAATACATTTCCTAAATCTTAAAATTCCATGCTAAACAATAGGTTTAAATGTGTCCTGTTGTAAAAGCTGTGAGTGATCAATGTGTCTCAGTTTGGCCTGTGACGGAGGAATCATTTTTTTGTTTTTAATATGTGTGTGTACTGCTACTAAAAGGAGTTTATACCCATCCAGGGCAGATTTATCCCATAAATGACTGCTTTCTAGAAGTTAAACGGATTAATTAAACGCACCCAATAAGGAAAAAATCCTGCTTTAATCTTCCGTTGAATATACAGCAATGCTTTAAGTCGGCATTTCTCAGGGAGTTTGCTTGAATTTTGAAGTTAGAAGCCTTTGTCGGGTGCGTGGGTATTTAATCGGTAAATGCGATTGGAGGAGATGGTTACTTAAAGAAAAACAGAAGGAGGACGAGTGCGTGCCTCTGGGGCAGAATCCCGTTGAGGAGAGGGACACATTGTTGTGTCTGGGATGTGATTGGCTCTCCCCGCAGCCTCCCGGCTCGCGGCTATAAATCCGTCGTCCAGCTGTGCTCCCAGAGCTCAGTGGCAGCAGAGAGCGGAGGGTTCCGCCGGGCGCACGGAGGACTTTAACCCCAGGAGCAGCACAGACGGAGAAGGTCTTTGATTAATCCCCAAGCCTCGGTGGGATCCGATGCGCACTGCTGGAATACTGATCAGAGAAAACTTTGACTTCCAGCTCACTCACAGCACCGCGGTCCGGTAGGTCCCATATGGATTTAAATAGAAGACGCCATTCATAATAACCCAATTTATTAAAAAAAACAAAAAACGTATATCTATCTATCTATCTATCTATCTATCTATCTATCTATCTATCTAT